AGTCCTCCCAGCTCTCCGGGTGAGTTTTCTCACCTGTAAAATTCACAATGAAACCAAGTCCTGCTTGTTCCAAGCTTCAGATGAGTTATCCGGTAAGGATCCTGGCAGTTCCTGGGCACCCCCCATGGCCTCTACCCCGTCCTCAGACGGCACATTTTGTGCTGCTGGGAATGTTAACAGTGACGTGACCCCACATTTAATGCCATGTACTTCACACACGCTACCTCTGGCTCCCACGCTCTGGAGGACAGAGCTGGCTACCGTCCCCAGTGCTCTCCTGGGACAAATTACAGTGTATTTAGCCTCAGTACTGGCCACTCCTGGACGGAAAGGAGTCTTGGTTCCGGAGCGGACCCTCTTGGGCATCTGCCACGTGCCAGGCTCTGTGCTTGGCTCGCCCCTGGAGTCCTGTGGGGCAGGGCTGATGACTCTGGTTGTGCAGATGGGGAGACAGGCTCGTTGCTCCCCTGTCTCAAAGGGGTGCAGGGACCCTTGGCAGTTGGCAGGCGCGGGGCCGGGCTCTGGGCTGCGCGGTTCGTGTGGCTGGCGCGCCCTCTAGCGGCCGCCCTGCGCGCCGTGCGGGGACTGGTGCGGGAAGTCCCTTCTCCCAGCCGGCCGCGGTCCCGCCTGCTGCGGCTCCACCTCCGCCAAGCTGCGAGCGGTCTGGCCCTGCCAGTCGTCCTCACGGCTTCGCAGGGACGCGGCTGCACGCTCCGCCCCGATTACCATGGAGACCGCTTGTACACAGTTTCCCCTTTCTTCTGCCTGGTTCTGGGGTCCTACGGCCGCCTAGGCGGGAGCCCGCCAGGGTGGGGCGGGGCCGGGCGCCCATGAACAGCGGGGTCCCGGCCACGCTGGGCGTGCGGAGAGTGAAGTTCTTTGGCCGGCACGGCGGGGAGGTGAGGTCCAGCGGGCGCTGCCCAGGCTCCTGGCTTTGGGTGCAGAGTGGTTCCTGGTTCTCTGTCGTGGGGGTTCCAGAATGTTCTCTGGGCACTAGCTCAGGACATTGAGTCTAGAGTGGACTTTGCTAACCTAAGAAGGCTCAAAGTAGGCCCTCAGCTCCAGTGCTGGGCCCCAGCTCCAAAGCAGCTTTAGGTTCTAAGCTCTGCCCCTAGAAAGGCTCTAGGCTTTGGGCTCTGCCTGGAGACGGGCTCAAGGCTCCCTGTTGACTCTGGTGTTTTCTGTGGCTCTGGCTCTAAAGTGAACTCTGGGCTTAGAGTAGATTCTGGACTGTCAGTTGTCAGCTGCAGCTCTGGAATTGGCTCTTGGCCCTGGGGTTCCAGGCTCTGGTTCCAAAGAAGGCTCCTGCCTCCAACTGCAGCTCAGGTTTTTCGGGCTCCAGAGAGGGCCCAGAGGGGCCTGGGTTCTGGGCTCTGGTGGTGGAGTGAGGCTTGAAGTCAAGCTCCAACCCCAGGCTCTTGGGGGCAGTGTTTAGGAGTCTGGAATGAGCCGACAGGGGTTTCTTCCTCAGATTGGGGCTTTTTGTGCTGTTTCCAGGTCAACTCCTCTGCCTTCTCCCCCGATGGCCAGATGCTGCTCACAGCCTCAGAGGATGGCTGCGTGTATGGCTGGGAGGCCCGGAGTGGGCAGCTGCTGTGGAGGCTGCACGGCCACACAGGTGGGGAGGCTGCACGGCCACACAGGTGGGGAGGCTGCACGGCCACACAGGTGGGGCTCCCAATCCTGGCTGGGAAGACCGAGGCACAAGCGTTTGGCATTCTGCAGAGCTGACCACAGTGACCACCGATGAGCTGGGCACGGGTGCAAGGCAGGACTGGGCAGGACGGGACACGGGACGTGATGCATGGGCTCTGGGGCTCAGACTCTCAGGCCTTGACACAGATCCTTCTTTAAAAAACAAAACTGTGATGTAAATACTGTGGTATCCTTTTGTGTGTGTGTGTGACAGTCTTGCTCTGTTGCCCAGGCCGGAGTGCAGTGGCACAATCTCTGCTCACTGTAACCTCCACCTCCCGGGTTCCAGTGATTCTCCTGTCTCTCAGCCTCCCAAGTAGTTGGGACTACAGGTGCACACCACGACATCCAGCATTTTTTTTTTTTGAGATGGAGTCTGGCTCTTGTTGCCCAGGCTGGAGTGCAATGGTGTGATCTCAGCTGCAACCTCTGCCTTCCGGGTTCAAGCAATTCTCCTGCCTCAGCCTCCAGAGCAGCTGGGATTACAGGCATGAGCCACTATGCCCAGCTAATTTTGTATTTTTAGTACAGACAGGTTTTCTCCATGTTGGTCAGGCGGGATCTGCCTGCCTTCGCCTCCCAAAGCGCTGGGATTACAGGCATGAGCCACTATGCTCCACCCTTACTGCTGTTTTGACTGTGATCTTGGTCAAGTCCTGTCACCTCCCTGAGCCATTTTCACTGGCACGATACAAGCAAAGTCCCTAGCACCCAGTGAGGACTCAATAGACGTAACTATTGTAATTATTATTCAGGAGACAGAGAAAAAAAATCAGGCAATTACAGGCAGTCTGGTTAATGCTGCAGAGAGGGAAAATTGGGCTGGGAGATCAGACAAGGCAATGAACCTAGGCAGGGGTTGTTAGGGCAAGTTTCTGGGAGGTAACCTACCTTCGACTTGGGTACTGATGATTTTTCAGATGAGCACCTTGAGGTTGGGTGTTCCAAGGTTGACAGCCCAGCCAAGGCATGGAAATCCAGGCATTTCTGGAAGGCTGGAGTTTGGGTGAGGGGAGGCTAGTGATGAGGCTGGAGAAATTAGCAAGGATTGGACTGAGTGGGCAGGAGTGGTGGGCAATGCCCTGTCCCCTGTGTTCACCTGCCCAGGCCCTGTAAAGTTCTGCCGCTTCTCCCCCGATGGCCACCTCTTCGCCAGCGCCTCCTGTGACCACACTGTCCGCCTGTGGGATGTGGCAAGAGCCAAGTGTCTGCAGGTCCTGAAGGGTGAGTGGGCTGGGAGCCAAGCAGCCGGGCCCGCATTCCCTTTCAGACGGTGCTGTGTCTGTCCTGTGTCATGTCACCTTTCCTCCTCCCCTGACCCCGGGCTGGTGCCTGCAGGTCACCAACGGAGCGTGGAGACGGTCAGCTTCAGCCCTGACTCGAAGCAGCTGGCATCAGGTGGCTGGGACAAGCGGGTGATGATCTGGGAAGTGCAGGTAGGTGGAGGGCTGGGGCCCCACCAGCCTGGGATCCCAGGACCAGTTCCAGAGAGGACGTCACCAGTCTTGCCCTCCTGGCTCAAACCCTCCACTGGTTCCCCATGCCACAGCAGGCAACCGAGGCTCCTCCAGGCGCCTCTCCAGGCCTGCCTGCACACAGCAGCCCTCGCGCCTCATGCTTTTTGCACGAGGTCCCCGTTGCCTGGACTCTGTCAAGGCCCAGGTAGCCGCTGCCTCCTGAAGCTCAGGCCTGTCTCTAGTCTGGCCAGGTGCTGCGCCTCTTAGTCGGGCACCGAGATTCCGTCCAGAGCAGCGACTTCTCACCCACGGTGAACTGCCTGGTGAGCCTCTCCTCTACCCTGGGCCCCAACTCGGTGGCCCCATACCCACTTGGAGCTGAGCGGTGGGGAGGGGATGGACTCCAGGTCCCGCCTAGATGCAGAGTGGGTTGGGGGTGCTGGCTGGGCCAGACTGACAGGAGCTGCCTGCAGGCCACTGGGTCCTGGGACTCCACCATACGCATCTGGGACCTGCGGGCAGGAACCCCAGCAGTCTCCCACCAGGTGCTAGAAGGACACAGTGGCAACATCAGCTGCCTGTGCTACTCAGCATCCGGCCTCTTGGTAAGTGGGGTGTCCTGGGTTCCAGGCTGGTCCCTTGCTGGCAGCCAGGCCCTTAAGAAGAGCCCCAGGCCACTTAGGGGCTCAGTGAGCTTACAGGCCCCCATCCCTGGGGATCAGAGCTATCTGCTGTCCAGGCCTCTGGCTCGTGGGACAAGACCATCCACATCTGGAAGCCCACGACCAGCAGCCTGCTTGTCCAGCTGAAGGGCCACGTCACCTGGGTAAAGAGTGTCGCCTTCTCTCCTGACGAGCTGAGGCTGGTCAGCGCCGGATACTCCCGCATGGTAACCACCCCTGGCCTGTCCGGATCCTACCCCCCAGGAGCCCTCAGCACTCACTTCAGAAATGTCCACATGCCCACTTGCCCTAGCTAGGAGGGGGCAAAGGCAGGACCCAGGTACCGGCCTCTCCACCTAATAGCACCAAGGTCGGGCTCGCCCACTGGTAGCTGCATTGACATTTCTATGACCCAAATGGCATCAGGCAAAAGGGAACTCCTACACTGAAATGTCAAAAGCAGGCCGCAAACAAAACCTACACCAAGAGGTGCAGATGTTGTCTGGGCCGGGCGCGGTGGCTCACACCTGTAATCCCAGCACTTTGGGAGGTGGTGGTGGGTGGATCAAGCAAAGCCCCCATCTCAAAAAAAATTGTCTGGGACGTTCCCAGAGATGCTTTCAGATGCCACACTGGCCTGGTGAGGCTTCCTCCCTCCTCCTTTAACAGGTCAAAGTCTGGGACTGCAGCACAGGGAAGTGCCTTGAGACCCTGAAGGTAAGGTGTGGGGCTGCGGACTGAGGGAGCGGGGACAGACTTCTCCCGAGGCAGGACGTTCCCTGAACCCCATCCTCTACTCTTGGCAGGGAGTCCTGGATGTGGCCCACACCTGTGCCTTCACCCCAGATGGGAAAATCTTAGTGTCTGGAGCTGCAGATCAGACTAGACGTCAAGCATCCCACACGACCAAATCACCTAGGGCCACTCAAACCTAACACCACCTCAGACGGCGCTGACCACTTCCTGCAGCAGCACACAGGCATGCCGCTTCTCACCACAGGCCCACAGTGACTGTGCCGGCATCCCAACAGATCCCCATGGCCAGGGGTCTCCTGCTCCCCCCCACCAAGAGCAACCAACAGCTGCAGGATGCTGGCTGGAACCCATCAGACACCTGGTACCCAGAACCAGACCTACCCGCCTCTGCCCCCAACCCCATCAGTGGAAGTGCCAGGAAACAAAGCAGTCTCAAGCCAGCTGTGCTTTATTGACAGCGCGCCACTCAGGCCTTGACCGCGTACTTCCGAAGCGGGTACAGCCGCTCCTTCCGCTGCTGCTTCTTGGTCTTCAGGTTCTCTTCGTGCTTGTTGAGCCGGCGGCGCATGGCGCGCGTCTTCTTCGGCCGCAGGTCCAGGGGCTTATACTTCTTGCCCTGGAGACAGACGGCAGGGTGAATCTGAGGACCCCGGGCGAGGAGCTACTGCAGCAGCTAAGGGGGCTTGGAAGGGCAGAACCAGGGTTCTGGTGCTGGGGAGATGCCAAGGGAGACAGGAGGGCCATCCAGAGCCACTTGGGAGGAGGCTGCCTGCCTCCATGGGACTGCCAGCAGGCCACACATGTCACTAGCCCAGTACCCCAAACCCAAGGCTGGTGGGAGCATCCTCATTTCATGAAAGCCTGCTGACCTACTGGGCTGAGTGCCCAAGTCTTGGCAAAGCTGTGGAAGAGCAGGGACTTGCACCTCAGTCAGATGACTCCCAGCTCAGTGCTCCCACTGCCCGATTCCCAGTCACGAGGACAAAGTCACATGACAACCCAGTAACGGATGCACAGCACCCACCAAGCCCCACGGGTGGTCACTGCTACCTCGGCTCTGGTTAGCAAGAGCGTGCCAGGGGCTGAGGCTGTGCTCCGTCCATTTGTCTGCAGTGCCTGCCAGGTGCTGCCTGTGAAGGCCCAGCCTCAGAGGCTTGGCTGCCCAAGGCCACTCGCCACGAGGGGCAAAGCCCTGCCCCCTTCATGCTTTGGGGCCACTGCCCACAGCTGTCACAGAGCCATCATCTGTCTTTCCATCCCTGGCTCCCACTCCCGCCCCACTTGCTCTCCATCGAGGGCTGCGAGACCACGGTGGCTCCCACTGGCCTCTCCTGTGAGTTCTGCAAAGGTCCCCTGGTTCCCCTTTAGGACTGGGCCCTGTGCTGAGAGCTGACTTGGCAAAGAATCCGACCCAGTCCCTGCTCAGGGGTCCCAGCCCAGTGGAATAACAAATGGCCCATGGTGCAGATGAGGCGAGATGAAGGAAGGAGGCTCTTAAAGATTGGCAATACCCTCAAAGGCAAGCACCGTGGGTGCCAGGGGAAAGGGCATGTGGGACATCCCTGCCCTGAGCTGGGATTCTGAGGTCAGAAGGCCCAGGCCCCTGCAGGTGGGCAGAGAACTGCAAAAAGATTCCTGGATGATGAGGGCCAGCCCTGGAGGGTACTTGGCGGCAGGAGGGTCTTTTTTTTTTTAATTTATTTTTTGAGATGGAGTTTCACTCTTGTTACCCAGGCTGGAGTGCAATGGCACAATCTTGGCTCACCGCAACCACCTCCTCCTGGGTTCAAGCAATTCTCCTGCCTCAGTCTCCGGAGTAGCTGGGACTACAGGCGTGCGCCACCACGCCCAGCTAATTTTTGTATTTTTAGTAGAGATGGGGTTTCACCATGTTGACCAGGATGGTCTCGATCTCTTGACCTCATAATCCACCCGCCTCGGCCTCCCAAAGTGCTGGGATTATAGGCGTGAGCCACCGCGCCTGGCCACAGGAAGGTCTTTATCCCTCCACATCCCTCATTCCTGCTGGCACTGGCTGGGCATTCGTCCTTTTCACATTTGCTAAGCCCTAGAGCTCTGCTGTCCAACCAAGCAGCCACTGGCCACACGTAGCTATCACAGTAAAGATTTACTTTCGCCACATACAGTGCCTCCGGAACAGCAAACACTGCCACACTATGGCCCTTTTCATTTTTTTGAGATGAGGCCTCGCTACGTTGCCCAGGCTGCACTTTAACTCCTGGGCTCAAAACATCCTCCTGCCTCGGCCTCCCAGTGCCGGGGTTACAGGCCTGTGGCACTGCGTCAGTTATGGCTGCTTTTCCATGTGTCAGACCTTCCTTCAAGTTATTCAAACAATAATTTGGGTAGTGATCTGTAACCATTTTGCAGACGAAATTAAAGGCCCTAATCAGCTAACTTTAAGGGAGATTACCCTGGGCAATCTGAGAGGCCTGATCCAATAAGCCAAAAGCCTTAAAAGCAGGGCTGAGGCTCCCTCCAAGAAGTCCCCCCTGGGAAGCGCAGCTTCAACCTGGGCCCTGAGTTCAGCCAGTCCCCACAATCACCTAAGCCAGTTCTTCAGAATACACTGGACATGTGTGTACACACCATCTCCCACTAGTTTAATTTCACTGCTTGAACCCTAATAAGACAAACGTTAAGGACAAGACCAAATAAAGCTTATCAAAATTTGAGATTAAGGGGGCAGGGGCCAGACACCTGTGCACGCCTCCCAGGAACACTCAAGCCAGCCCTCCCCAAGGCAGTTTGGAACCGGGGCCCACCATGCCACTGACTGTGGGTGTCTAAGCCTCAGGGCCCTCAACTGAAAAATGAGCACAGCAGGTGCCTGGCAGGGACTGACACCCAGTGCTAGTAAGAGGCAGTGAAAACCTTCAACAGCCAGTCCCATCACTCCCAAGCCACTCAACTGGGAAAGCAGGATTCAAAACCCCAGTCTCCAGCCAAGACACCCTGAGCCCCAACAAATTCTTGACATCTGCAGCCTGAGGAAGCGCAGTCTGCAGAGCTACGCGCCAGTGCAAGACACCGGTCAAAGAGTGAACCCAGGGGGGTACGGGAGGGACAGTGGGGGGTGGGAAGGTTGGGGAGACTTTGGGAGAAATGCCTGATGTAGGTGATGGGGGATGGAGGCAGCAAACCACCACGGCATGTGTGTACCTATACAACAATCCTGCAAGATCTGCACGTGTACCCCAGAACTTAAAGTGCAATTAAAAAAAAAAAAAGATGAACCCAGCAACAAACTGGGAAGGCCAACCACCCTCCACCCCAGGCACCAAGGAAAACCTCTTTACCATGCCCCCTGACCAAACACAGCTAACACTTGGCTTCCTGCAGCCAACCCTCCCTATGCCCCGGCAGACTCACCTTGTAGAATTTCCTGAGGTTTTCTTTCTGAGTCTGATTAATAACTGTGAGAACACGAGCAATAGATTTGCGGACGACTCGGCTACAAAACAGAGATGTCAGTGAAGATGGGGAAGATGCACAGCACTTCCCAAGGCTCAGGACCCACACACAGGGCAGGGACAGCTAGAGCCGACCCTATCAGCCCATCCATATTCACTCAAGAGGAAGGCATTCTGGGAGTGAGGTCTGAGGAGGGAAAGAGGGACACGGGATGGGCATTCCAGGAGTGTGGACAGGGAATCCAGCGCTGTTGAGCTGTGAAGCGTCGGCTGAGACAGCAGAAAAGGCTTTATGAGGAAGTGCAGGCTGGATAAATGGGGCAGATCAGGGAAAGACCTTCATTCCCAGAACACGGATTTATCCCGAGGGCTATGAAGACCCAACCAGTGCCAATCTCAGTGAGCTGATGGGAGGGAATCATGCCGCAAACCAGGCAATCGGGACAGTTTAAGGAATCGCAGAAAAAATTAGACATTTGCAAAGTAGAATCACTACAAGCTAGGAGACTGAAGCAAGCAACAGGCTGGGGAGAATCTGTAGTCAGGTCGGGATGCGGGAGTTACCTTGCGGATGGCTGGTCAACATGAGGATTCAGTGTGCAACTCTGCTCATTCAGTCCTCTCACCTTGCCCCACTAAGGTTGGGGGAAAGGAGGGCAGCTGCCTTTTTTTGGGGGAGACAGGGTCTTATCTCTGTCAACCAGGCTGAAGAGCAGTGGCCCCATCATAGCCTCAAACTCTGGGTTCAAGTGATCCTCCTGCCTCGGCCACCACAGTAGCTGGGACTACAGGCGGGCACCACACCCAGATAATTATTTTGGTGAAGTGGACTTTGGACTCGGATTGATGAACTCCAAACCCATGTTCCTTTCACAAGCCTCCTGGACTCTTAGTCATGTAAAACAACTGACACTGACACTCACGGGTGCAAGCCACCCACCTACCAAGAGGGAAAAGGTGAATTAAAAAGTCAAGTGTAGTGGTAGGCGGAAGGAAAGGGTCCAGGTAGGCTTTGAAGGCAGCATTAATGGGTCTCCGAGAATGCACTCCAGGCACAAAGACCGCAAGGTCAGGCAGGTAAGGGGCTAAGCACACAGCGGGTCTCCCATGCGCCCCGGGATTCGCTAAGTGGGCACCTAAGCGGCCACCTCCTTAAGCCAACTTTGAAATCCTCCGATGATCCCGATGCACACGTGCTCTCCGCCCCCGGGGGCCTGTGATCCGGCTCTCACTTACATCTTAGAGAGCTTGGAGGCCGCGCCGCCTGTCACTTTGGCGACTCGCAGCTGGGACAGCTCCACCTTCAGGTCGTCCAGCTGCTTCAGCAGCTCCTCCTTCTTCTTCCCGCGAAGGTCTCGAGCCTTTATCTTGGCCTGCGCGCAAGAGGACGTGGGGTTCAGCCAGGCCGCGGGGCCATGTCCCCACCTGCGCCGTGGCCAGCCCCAGAAGGCGTGCGACTCGCCCTCGACCACATGTGCGCTGGAGCCCCGGCCAGGGTTCAGGACCGCCTCCCCCACCGGCCGTGCCTCGGGCAGAGTAACCGAGGACCCGGCCGCGCGCCTCTCCGGACGCCAAGCCTAGCAGAGAAGGGAAGAGGCGTGCCGTGGCGGCGCGAGACCATTCAGCAAGGCGCTCTACAGGCCTAGCTGGCAGACGGAAACCGGGGGCTCGGCCCGCACCGCCTGCCTCAACGCCCGCGCCTCACAGCACTCAGATGGCACACGATTCTGCCGCTCTCACCATCGCTGCAGAGGCCGCCGCCGCCGCCGCTGCCGCCTCCGGTCGCTCCGAGAGAAAGAGGAAGTAGGCGGGGCTGACCTCCGCAACTACTGCCGGGTGGCGGCGGGCGCGGCCAATAGCGCAGCAGCGAGGAAGCCCCGTGTCCCCCGCCCCGAAGGAGCGCCGTGGTATCGCCCGCCCGGGCCGGAGAAGCCGCAGCCCGCCCTTTGGTGCCTGCCTCTTTCACTGCACCCCCGGTAGCGGGGTCGGCGTCAGCTCTAGGCGCGCAGTTGGGGAAACCGAGGCCCAACGTTGTCGGTAGCTTACCAGAGATGGCACACGGAGAACTCGAATTCGTCCATTCATTCATTCGTTCATTCATTCATTTGTTCATTCACTTGGGAAAACTTGCAGATCTCCCAATCTGGGCAGCTCTGAGTTGGGCGCCGGTAGTCTGGGGGTGCTGAGGGGAGGAGGGGGTCAGGGTTTTCAAAGATGATGAACCGCGGCCCATGCCATGGAGGAATTTAAAGTGCGAGGTGGGCGGGAGGGGCGGGCTCAGGCAGTTATAATCCAACTCCATAAAGGTTCTGGGGAGGCAGCAGGTGGCGGTGCAAAGAGCATTTACAGTCTTTTTTTTTTTTTTGAGACAGAGTCTCGCTCTGTCGCCCAGGCTGCCAGGCTGGAGTCCGTGTCGCGATCTGGGCTCACTGCAACCTCTGCCTCCTGGGTTCAAGCGATTCTCCTGCCCCAGCTTTCCGAGTAGCTGAGTAGCTGGGATTACAGGCATGCACTACCACTCCTGGATAATTTTTTGTATTTTTAGTAGAGACGGGGTTTTGCCATGTTGCCCAGGCTGGTCTTGAACTCCTGAGCTCAGGCGACCCGCCCGCCTTGGCCTCCCAAAGTGCTGGGATTACAGGTGTAAGCCACCGCACCCGGCCCCCCGGCCCTTCTTTTGAAACAGGGTCTGGCTCTGTCACCCTGGCTGGAGGACGTGATCTCCACTCACGGAAACATCCGCCTCCTGGGTTCAAGCAGTCCTCCCACCTCAGCCTCCTGAGTAGCTGAAATTACAGGAACATGCCACCAGACCTGGCTAATTTGTGTATTTTTTGTAGAGATGTTGCCCAGGCTGGTCGTCTGGGCTCAAGCGATCTGCCTGCCCTGCCTTGGCCTCCAAGAGTGCCTGGGATTACAGGCATGACCCACCTCGCCTGGCCATACAGCTTTTTTTATTTTTTGAGAGGGACTCTGGCTGTCACCCAGGTTGGAGTGCAGTGGTGCGATCTGGGCTAACTACAACCTCCACCTCCCCAGTTCAAGAGATTCTCCTGCCTCAGCCTCCTGAGTAGCTGGGACTACAGGTGAACGCCATCTTGCCCAGCTAATTTTTGTATTTTTATTAGAGACGGTGTTTCACCATGTTGGCAGGGCTGGTCTCAAAAAATTCTCATTTCAAGTGATCTGCCCACCTCAGCCTCCCCAAATGCTGGGATGACAGGTGTGAGCCACCGTACCCAGCCAGGAACATCTCCTTTGATCACTTTATCTAAGGCACTGCATGATTTTTTTCCCGAAACCTCAACACTGTCAGCCCTGACATAGTATCACATGGATTTTTAAATTCTGTCTCCCTGACTGGAATGAAAGTCCATGGCCATGAGCTGGGACATTATTTCATTTACCAGTTTCTTAGGGTGCTGTTTCCTTACTTGTAAAATGGCATTTCTGGTTTAAAGTTCTTCTGACCAGGATGTTCTGGGGATATGAATTTCTGCTATCTTGTGGCAGGCCTGAATCACAAAGATTTCTTCCCAAATATGGAGCTGTATTGCAGGTGGGCTTTATGTGTTTCCAGGACCCCTGAGACTCTTCTTTTTTCTTTTTGAGATGGAGTTTTGCTCTAGTTGCTAAGGCAATGATGCAATCTCGGCTCACTGCAACTTCTACCTCCCGGTTCAAGTGATTCTCCTGCCTCAGCCTCCCAAGTAGCTGGGATTACAAGTGTGCGCCACCATGCCCGGGTAACTTTGTATTTTTAGTAGAGATTGGGTTTCACCATGCTGGTCAGGCTGGTCTCGAACTTCTGACCTCAGGTGATCGGCCCAACTTGGCCTCCCAAAGTGCTGGGATTACAGGAGGAGACTTCTTCAGCACCAGTTTCCCACTATCCGAGTCTGTATCCTTACCACACAAGATTAGGTTGCATCATAGTCTGGAAGTATTTTTTTGATCTGTAGACACAGTTCAATGAGAAATATTCAAAGCAGTAAAAATGAATCACATTCCAACTACTGACTTTTATTATAAAGAGTACTATTAGATAAAAATAGTTTTCCTTCTATTATATAAAAAGACCCATTTGACCCTAAGGCTAAGATCAATTAACAGAACCCCTGGGGTAACAGCCCAGGTACCAAATCTGGCACCTCAGAGTCATCCCTGACTTCCCTAACCCCCTTCCCCCAACTCAGATTCTGAGAATTTGGCGTATATCAAGATATCTCTTTCCAGCAAGGCATCTCCTGCCAGGACGGTGGGGTGGCAAAAACGTCTTCAGCGTCTTTTCAGTCCCCTGGACACACTAAACGTCTTTATTAGTTTATTTTTGAGACGGAGTTTTGCTCTTGTCGCCCAGGCTGGAGTGCAAAAGCGCGATCTCGGCTCACTGCAACCTCCGTCTCCCGGGTTCAAGCGATTCTCCTGCCTCAGACTCTCCCGAATAGCTGGGATCACAGGCATGTGCCACCACGCCCCACTAATTTTTTATTTTAAGTAGAGGTGGGGTTTCTCCACGTTAGGCTGGTCTCTAACTCCCGACCTCAGGTGATTCACCCGCCTCGGCCTCCCAAAGTGTTGGGATTACAGGCGTGAGCTACCGCGCCCGGCCCTAAACGTCTTTAAAGTCTCCCACTCCTTTAACAGGGTCACTTCTGTGTACAGGCGGCCTCCTCGGGCTAAGCGTGGTGGCGCTCAAGGATCCGAGACACAGACCCCTCCCGGTCACTCCCCAGGCCCAGGAACTCCTACTCATCCCTCAGACATCAGCTCGAAGGTTTCTTCTCCAAGAAGCTTGTCCGGGGCTCGACAAGTAGAGCCGCGACCCTTCTCCCAGGAGCCCGATGTTCCCCTGTCGGGGCAGAGATCAGCCCGGCAGGCCGCGCTGGGCCTTGCTGAGACAGGGGCTCCTCGGAGGCGCGGGAAACCCGGAGAACGAGTGCAGTTACGGCGCACACGATGCGGGGCCTGCATGGATACTGGGCACCCGCTCCCCAGCGGGAAAACTGAGGCAAGGCAGAAGGTACACTGTGGTTGGGACGGCCGCGGAGACCCTCGAACACTCTCCAGGCGCCGGGCTCCGCCCCGCCCCTGACAGCGCTTCCGGATCCGGCGTGTGCCGGAAGTGGGCGGGCAGCGGCGGCTGCGCGCGGAGGCGGTGGAGGAGGCGCTGGAGGAGCCGGGGCGGCCGCTTCCCGCCCCCTAGCCGGAGCCGGCGCGAGAGGAGCGGAGCCGAGATCGGGCCGCAAGGGGAGCCGGCTGAGCGGGCGCCGAGCTCCCGCCATGGCCCGGAACACGCTGTCCTCGCGCTTCCGTCGGGTGGACATCGACGAATTTGACGAGAACAAATTTGTGGACGAGCAGGAGGAGGCGGCGGTGGCGGCGGCGGAGCCAGGCCCAGACCCGAGCGAGGTGGACGGGCTTCTGCGGCAATATCCTTCCCTGGCGCGGCGGCCGGGCGTGCGCGCGGCCTTTCTCCCTGCCCACCTTCCTGACCCCTCTCGGGCCCTTCCGGGCGAGCCTCCCCTATCCCCTACCCCCGGCCCCCTCAAGTCAGCCTCCTACTCCCTGCCAATCCGGCTCCCCTAGGCCGTGCTTCCCTGAGTCCGGGTCTCCCTGGGTCCCTCATCCCCGGCCCTGGCGCCTTCCTCGGCAGCGCAGCCCCCCAGGTCCGTGGACCCGGTGGACGGGCTCCCTCGGCTGCCTTGCGCCCTCTTTCCCCCTTGCCTCTTTATCCCCTCATGCTGTCCCTTCCTGGGAGCCCCAGCACTCCGTCCCTCCCTTGCAGGAAATCGGGCCTGTGGCGGGGTTGGGTCGGCAGCAGGGCGGAGGTGAGCCGCATCTGAGTAACCGAGTGGTCTGGGAGGCTGGGGCGCGGTCCTCCGGGGCTTTCCGTGACCGGATTGCCGCGCGGCGTGAAGATAGGTGGGTGGACGGCGGTGGGGAAGACAGGACCCAGGAGGGAGCGGAGGCGGCCGCCGTAGCTCAGCCCTGGGATCTGAGGTTGTGCCTCTCCTCCCCCAGTCAGTCTGACTCTCCCTCTTAATGCTGAGAAAGGGGGAGCCTGTGGTTCCTCTGGACACCTTGGTGGTCTCAGCCACGCTCAACAAGTGAGTCTTGGCTCCCCTCGGTACCCTTCTGGTGCAGGAAGCAGCAGAAAAAACTAGTAGTTCATAGCTAAGAAAACCAGACACCTTAAAGTGAAGTGTGAAAGTGGAGCTGCACGCCTGGAAATGACTGTTATTGTGGCCACAGAAAACAGCATTTAGAAAAGATTAAAAATACAGGTGATTGCCACAGCCTTGCTCGGTCCCTTAGCAGCATGAGCGCAGGAAACTGACTTATTCTCACCGGAAGGATTTTTCTTTATTCAAACGCTGTTCCAGGAAGCATGTCCCCTCCCCCCACACTGGCCGGGGCAGGGTTGGAGGCCCCTGCTGTACATAAATCAGGTTCTCAGTGTTGAGCCAGTTGACTCAGCTTGGAAAGTGGGGCCTGCTGCTTGGGGGGAGCCCAGCAGTGCTCCTCAGTGTGCCTTTAAAACGAAAACCTTCAGACTTGGTTTGAACCGGAATGTGTTTTCAGAAGTGGAGATTCCAGCTTGTAATTCCTGCCCCATCAGGATCTTCCAGTCTACCCTACTTATAAAATGGGGCCAAGGGAAGGGTCCCCAGAAGGGAAGGTTGGTTGTGGTCTGGTGCAGGTCCTGGTTCATGGACAGTCAGTGCAGCAAGGGCTTCAAGGTCAGGCCTTTGGCCCAGGACCCTGACTGAACAGATGAGGAGACCACGCCTGTCAGCTGCTGCTTTGCTCTAGGTGCAGAGGCTTGTTGAAGGTCATGTCTTGGGACTCCCCTGCCTGGTGACAGGTTCCTTGAGGCTGCTTAGAGGCCTGCGCTCGGCACATCCTGGGATGGTCGTTTCTCCATTCATAGCAGCGTCAGAAACCTTGTTACCAAGGAGAGTGTTCCACTTGGGACTGAGGAAAGGGAGGTTAGCGGCTGAAGAGAACTGAAACCCTGGCAAATACGGGGCCCAGGAAGGGAGGAGAATGGAACTCATATTTGAGTCTCTATCATGTGCCAAGAATTCGGCTTACATTAGACCACTGAATTTAAAGTAGGAACTTCTGAATGTCTGAAGACAGGGGAGCAGAGAGACGGGTGGATAGATTGGGATGGGGAAGGGCAGAGAGGGGCCCTGTCCTGGGGCTATAAAGGGAAGTGTGTGTGGCAGGAGATCACACAGATGGAGTAGAAGGAACCCTGCTATGCATGGGCACACACCCAGCACTATCATGCTGTGGCTGTGTGACCTCGGATAGGTCACATGCCCTCTCACAACTCAGCATCCTCCTCCGTTATGTGGCAGACAGCCATGCTGGCTTCCTAGGTTCCGTGGGAGCCTCGTGGGCTAACATCAGCATCACTGGGCACACAGCAAGTGTCCCAGACATGCTCAGGTCTGCAGATAGAGTGGCGGCACGGGATTGTAGGAAGAGCTTGGGTGTGAGGGCCATGTAAATAGCTTAGTTTTGTGATCTTGGGCAGGTAGTTTCCGTTTTCTGAGCCTTAGTTTCATTGCCTTTAAAATGAGGTAATGATTATTGTCACAGGGAGTTTTGGAATGAGATGGTGTGTGAAAGCACCTGGCACAGGATACGAGACATTGTGGCGATTTAAAAGTATTAGTTCGCTTCCTTCTCAGTGAAGCCGCTTCTAGACCTCTGGATCAGGGATCTGTCTAGAGCAGTGGTTTTGAGCGATTTTATACCCTTCCCCTCCACCCCCAGGACATTGGAGACATTTTGATGGTTTCAGCTTGGGGTTGCCACTGGAATCCAGTAGGCAGAGGCCTATGACATGCAGCAAATATCCCGCATCAGAGAATCCCGGGTCCACATTGTCAGTTGTGCTGTGATTGAGGAAGATCTAGAGGAGACCAAGGGCTGGGCAGTGTTCTGCCAGCACCACAGCCTGTTCTCTGAAAGGGCCTAAAGCCAGCCAAGTATGAGCACTTGCTTTGGGAATGATAGGTGATTTCAGGGAGGCCCTCCCTGCGCCCCAGATCTCCCAGCTGCTGAAGGCCCTCACCCATCAATGGGCTGAGTGATTGCTGGACACACGGTGCTGAGCGTTAATTCCACAGCAGTGGCTTTCTGCCCCCGTGGACTAGTTTTATCCCTGCCCTTCCCCATCCATCATCGGAATGATTTTGTTTGTCTGTTGTGCCAGGTTTACATGAAGAGCGAGCAAGCCTATGTTTCCTGTTCAGCCTCTGAGATCCTGCTTCTTGCTTTGGGGACACCACATTAGAAAAGAGTTGCAAGGTAGAGGTTATCCTTGGCTGATAGCAGGCTGGCCTTGTTTGGATGGGGAAAAGGAACTCTAAAGCTGAAAGACAGAGGGGCTGGGCCGCCTCTCGAGTGTGGAAGGTGGATCAGAGCCAAGCAGGGAGCTGGGGAACCAGGGCTGGGAGTGGCTTGCCTGGTGGCGCAGACCCAGCTCACTCAAGATGGAGCTCACACTGGGTAAGCCCGGAGATTCAGCTCTGCTCCGAAGGTCCTTCCTTTCTGCACGTGGGTATCACTGCATGAAGAGGAGTAGAGACCCGATTGGGCAGAAGCCATTCCTTGTTCTATTTTTGAAGCTTTTTGGCTGAAGCCAGTGTTTCACATGAGGAAATGAAAGTTGGCTGATGTAATTTAGTTTAAAATAGGTGTCACCTTTGGGGACCTAACCCAGATTGTAATTTTCTTTTGCATGCTGGGTATTCAGAACTCAGCAAAGAATGTATTGTCAGGGCTGCAGCTGAGGTTGTGGGGAGGGGTGGAGATTGGCTCCTTGTTGGCAAAAGCTTCTTTTAGATGAGAAACTCTTTCCTGGAAACAGTTGGGACCTCACTGATATCGATGGCTCTTAGAAGTTTTAGTACATCTTAATTTCCTTTATAGTTTAATTGATAAAGAGCATTGATGAAAAGTTAGGAGGTCTCCTTTTCCCTTTTTTAGAATGGGAACAATCCCTGGTTCACATGTACGGTTGCTGTGAGGATCTGGGAGGGGCGATACTGTGCCCAGCACCAGGCAGGTGCAAGTGAGCACACAACGGTTTTACAGCAAGCTCCCCCTCCAGGGCAGCTGCTTTGAGGGGGAAGGTAGAGAGGGAGGAAGAAGGAGGGTTTGCACGCTCGGCAGAGGTGCCCTGCACCCTCTGCGGGCTGTAAACATCTGCCCTCCTGGAAGCCATGGAAGGTGGGTGGTATGGATGAGATCCTGTCTGACTCTGTTCCCTGAGCTGTTTCTGAAGTGAGTTTGTCAATGAGAGTGTGGACATGCTTGAGCCTAGCCATCCTTAACTGATGGCGATCACAGGGGACATGCTTCGGGCATTCCACGCAGCCTTGCGGAACTCTCCCGTCAACACCAAGAATCAAGCCGTGAAGGTAAAGGGGTGGCATGCGGCTCTGCTGGGTGCTGTTGGGACCAGGGCTGTGGGTGTCTGCCGAGTGTGAGCTCCTCGGGGCTCTGGCCAGCGTCCGTTTCATTCGCACCAGGGGAGTGAGTTGGCACTGGGCAGTGCTTCCACAGAAGCCTCCTGGCACTCCCTAGATAGCGAGGCTCCTGCAACATCAAAGCTGTCAGTGTTTATAAGAGAAACTCCCCACAGAAGCCTTCATTCCCGCCCAGGGCCTTGTAGGTTGAGAAGTCAGCCTGGCCCTGGCTGATGCGGAAAACTGATGACTTCTCCAGCCTGTGGTGCCTGTGCTCTTACAGGCTGTTGAACACGCTTCATCTGCCCAAGGATTTTAAGTACCTGTGTGATTTCCTACCTTCTAAAAACTTCCCACCTTCTAAATTGTGCTTCTGCATCACGAAGGCTAAAATTCGGTTCAGGGAAAGGGTCTCCCTGCAGCTGGGATTCTGGCAGCTGTGACAGCATCTTGATGTCACCGATGGCTGCACCTGCAGAGTTCTGGGGACTGGCCCCACCCTTCCTGGGTGTGAACATGAGGGATGCTGCAGCCAAGTCAGCCTGGTTTTATTTTTATTTTTTAATAGACCTTCACCATTGTGGAGTATAATAAGGCCTTATTGGTGTCATCTAAAATAGTGGTAGGCTGGGTACTGTGGCTAATGCCTGTAATCCCAGCACTTTGGGAGGCGGGAGGATCGCCTGAGCTCAGGAGTTTGAGACCAGCCTGGGCAACATAGTGAGACCTTGTCTGTACTAAAAAAAAAAAAAAAAAAAAAAAAAAAGCAAGGTGGCATGTGCCTGTAGCCCTAACTGAGGTGGGAGGGTGGCTTGAGCCTGGAACAGGCTGCATTG